AGGATGGCAAAATAGAAAATCTTCAAGCATTTCATTTTCCCAGCAATATCGTACATACACCATAATTGAGATCCATTGGTAATATCTGTGCTTTCATCAAGTTGTAATGCAAAAAAAGTCTGTTTTCACTCTGTCAATTAACTGAGAATTTATATCATCTGGCATATCTTCTATTCTTCGCGCAATTGTGTCATCAGGCAGTGGCACAGCTTTCAATTTTGCAGAAAATTTTTCATCCAAAACTGCCTCACACATGTCTATTGCACAGGGCAAAACAAGTTTCTCAGCAATATTACGGGCGTTCTTAGCACGAGCCACTCTCAGTGCTACTAAATAAGATAATAGTTCATGATTTGATGTTATTGACATTGTAAAAGTTGCTTTCTGCTTTAAATATGCATCCCTTTTTCTTTCAAAGAAATGTTTTTTGTTTTTTGTTTTGTGGCAAATTCAGGATGTGGTGTTGTTAAATGTCGCTGGAATTTAGCTGGTTTCACGGCTTCATTCGACAACAGCTTATGACAAATTAAACACTGTGGTCTGTTAGCATTAGACACACTTTCAATGAATCCAAATCAAATATACTCCACATCATATTTTCTTAATTTCTTTTTCTGAACAATCTCTTCTGTCTCTGTAACGGATTCTGAGTTGATTTCATCATGAAATTTCCGTTTTAAAAATTTATCCATGGGTAAAATGGCGACTATTTGGTATGACTTTTATGCGTTTTTATTTTTTGTGAATTTGTTTAATAAATACAGGATGAATAAGCAATATTGCTATGTTTGGAAAAAATTATCTGACAACCTTATATTTACAAATTATTTTAAAGCTGATTTTACTTATACTTATAAATGACCATGCCTAGAATAGTGGTATCATACACTTCATTGACATATCCTCCTTAATTAAATTGATTCTAAAACGCCCGAAGTTTACAACAAACTCAAAATGTAACAATACTAAAAAAGCCTATTGCCTATTGCTAAAAAGAACTCGAAAGACTATATTGACTCTTTCAGTGGCTGTAAACAACATAGAACGCTTACTGTTAATTGCTATGAAAACAATATACTAATAAAAAATTCAGAGCTTACTTCCTTACCCGTCCAACAGCCTTGCAATTCTACTCGCAAAATGTTTCCCCTTTGAAGATTTGCACACGTGACGCCTAACAGCCAATGAGAAAGCCAGAAATCGCAAAATAGATCCAAAATTCAAATCCTTTGGTTCCTTCTCTGCATGAATAGAATCCATTATCTTTATCAATTTAAGATACAAATTATATTAGTATATCAAATCTATGAAAATATTTTATTGAATCAGTTTATTTCATGATCGGTCTATAAGTTACTTATAAGCGCTTATAAGTTACACGTCACCAATAGAAATGTCTTTGCTGTCCACGGACCCCCTATCTTGTCCTTGCGGACCCCCTGTGGTCCGCGGACCACAGTTTGAAAACCCCTGTCCTAGTGGATGAAAGTGTTCGCTGAAGTAATGTAGTGACTTGACGTAAAGAGTTGTGAGTTCAATATCTGGCCACAGCAGCGCTGAGCAAAAATAAGAAAGTTGAGTTATTAAAGGGAATTAACTGAAACTGAGATATCCAGAAAAGGCATGACATGGCACGTAGAATTAAAACAGTCTATCCCCTTGGTCAAAATAAAGGGTTCGAAAACTAAATTCCAATTTATATCACCTGAGGAAGGCCGCAGCGTACAACGGTCGAAACGTCATCAGTATAACAATACAGATGAAGACAACAATGTGAACAATGTAAATAGTTACAATCTCACCTTAGAAATAAAGACAGACGGATAAGAATGTTATAGCGGTTAGAAAAAGTGCCAAATTTAGAAGATTACCCCTTACAAGATTGCAAGATATTTGAACGCCCAACCGCCTTCTGTTTATGCCTTTTCGAAACGTTCCCATCTCTTTGTCCTGTCACATTTAATTTAGTCCCCCATTGATCAGATTCAACGGTGAGAAGACAGTTTCAGTCATCATCTTTCTATTCAATGCTTTCTCTCGTATCAGTTAGATTCTGAACAGTATTTTCTCCGGGTTACATTTACAGTCCGTATAACCCTGCCGGATTCGCTAGCCATAATTCGCGACTATGACATGTTGGCTTCAAGAATAACAACCAGAACAGAAAAACTCAGTAAATCCGTTGTTATTATAAACATTGCCGCTGTTATTATTGTTCTCCTCGTTCTGTTGGGGAAGAGAGTCGCACGCGGGGAAGTCAATGTTAGAAATGCAGTTTCCATGTCGAATGTCAAATATCTGAGCTGCTCGGCATCGGTGATCGGTTGAGACCGACTACGCATGCGCTTAAGTGCCGCTTCTTTGCTTTTGGTTCGTAGAACATTCGATATGACTTTTGACTGGCAGATCACAAACACGTCTTATTCCGACTGAATGACCTCTACCCAGTGACGTAAGCACGCCTTGGCATGTTTTCATCTTCATCTTTTGGCTTTTTGTTTGCATGGCGCGAGATGCAGTATTAAATATGTATGTTGGGGGAGGGAGGCCGAGGGTCAGCAAATGAAGCCGGGTTCTGTGTATAAGTCGGACTGTGTGATAGTATAATATTTTTAAAGGTTTCTTCAATAAATAATTATTCACATAGATATTTATTTTCTCGTCTAATCTAGTCCGGCAGAAGGACAAGAGAGGTGATTTATATGACTGTCACTATCTGGCATAAGGACACAATCAGTACTGCACACTTTTTTTTTCCTTATATGCACTTACTTAGCTTATATTTGTTTGAATTAAGTGCATTACCAATAAAACATTTTTTAAATGAAAATGAATATTTTACCATCATCATGTTACTGCCATATTTACATACAGCAGCAGGTGATTAATATTCGCCACTAAATTAAATGCATTGAAAAGAAATGCAGAATATATTGAAAGCTAATACAGAGTGTTTCAAAAGTCTATGTCAATCTCTAAGAGCTCTTATATCATGAACTACAAATGGTAGCATGATTAAACAGGTGCCATTTAAAAGCTAAAAATGTCAAGGTTTCTTCTGATAATTTAATTTTAATCTAATTAATTAAATTTAATTTTTGAACACCACTCTGCCTGACAGACGAGTCGGAAGTTCCGGACAGACGGATCGCGTCTTCCTTCCATGGCCACCAAGGTCAGTATGTGGCTTCTTCCTCTAGAAGGCCTCGTGTAAGTACCTCACCCTTTCCAGAGACGTGGATGATCTGAAGTCGCGAATAACTGAAGCCTTGGCAACCAACGACAAAACTAGGTCGGGTTTGATAAGAATTGGATTATCGTTTGGATATGCATTATGTAATCCACGACTCACACATTGAACACCTGTAAAAACCTGTAGGGAAACGTGGAAAGATTTCAGGAAAAGTGGAAAGCTGTGTTTTGATGCCCTTAATAGCTATTAAAATATGAAGTGGCGTAACGTGAAAGACTTTTGAAAAACCGGGTATTTTCTGTATGAAATAAAACCTCTTTTCCTTATTAGCGTGCAGTCTTATTTATACAATTTGAATTCCATTCGTGTTCGTTATATTCACTTACGTGAAAATCGGGTTGGGAAAATTATGAATACATCTTTTCTTTACGACCCCAGCTATGAATATCAGAACAGACTATAGCCTTGGGTGAACACCACTATAGGAAAATGACAACCCAGAATTCAAAACATCTCGCTATGGGTTTAAACAGGCTCACCAACCGGCAATTAGCCAAGCATGGAGAGTGCAGTACACCCCTGAAAACATGGTCAATCAGGAACAGGTCCCTCCATCAGGGGTGAGATGACACTGATTTAGGTTTAGACATAGATGATTAATATTAAAGAATAAAAGAAGTAAAGGGAATGAAAAAGAAAGAATTAATGTCAACCAATAAATATTTTATGCAATATATATATATATATATATATATATATATATATATATATATATATATATATATATAACTGATCCGGCGTGAAAATTTTCAGGATAACAACTGAGACATTACTCTACTTCATGCCACATTGACTGATAAACTCCCACAACAAAAAATTCTCAAATTGCCATATTAGTAAAAATGGGCACCAACTTAAATTTTCAAAAAAAAAATTCAACCTTAGAGTTGCGACTGCACGCTCCAAAAGTTTGTATCCGTTATCAATAACACATTTTAAAAATATATTTCGATTCGCATTATATTTTTTGGTCTTGGATGCTACCCGAATTTTACCAAAGGCAAAATATTTTTCATGCCTGAAGATGACTGAATGTACAGTCGAAAGTACTTACGTGAATGGCTTTGTGATCAAGCCACTCTCTATACACTTACGTCGTAGTGAATTGTTATCTCCTTTGATCAGAGTAGAATTTTATGTCAAAACTGGGCTCAGTCTCGATACATTAGGCAACCTACCACCTAAATCTAAAATTATATAGTTTTAAATTATATATATATATATATATATATATATATATATATATATATATATATATATATATATATATATGTCGGACTGAACTCTTTATTTCGATCACTGGGGTAGACTGTTCTAGTCCCACGTGCCATGTTTAATGGATGTCAGTTATCATTTATCACCTGTTATTCCTCTCTCAAGTTCTTCACCGGTTAAAGGCAGTGGAGAACTTGGAGAAGGGAATTAACAGGAGATAACTGAACAGTCTACACCAGTGAGCGAAATAAAGGGTTCAGTTCGACATTCCAACTACCTGAAGAAGGCCGGAGCGTACAACGGCCGAAACGTTGTAATAAATATGGCGACAAGATGAGAACAATAGTCCGAATATTTTTAAATAGTGTATATAAGACAGATATATATATATCAGACAGATATGTATATATATCAGACAGATATATATATATATATCTGACAGATATATATATATATATATATATATATATATATATATATATATATATATATATATATATATATATATATATAAAGAATGAACAGTAAGATA